CAAGATGAGCGAGCCAAAGATAGATGAGGATTCAGGCCTAAGTGGCTGAGCGCAGCAGGAAGATGTATAGTTACGGGGTATTTTTAATTTGCTGGATTGCAACGTACAACAAAAGAATGGCATGAACAGAGAGCAATGTTTTTATATTGATGTTGGCTCTGAATGCTTTTCAGGGTTGGTTGTGTATAGAAGGAGGGTTAGTCAGATACTCAATCGCAGGCTTGGCTTCACAAGCGCTAACAAGACTCTCTCTCACTACATTATGACCCCTTTCACGATTGTTACCTAGCTTCATCTTCTGATCCCTTGGTGTTCTACTATCCCTGAACTTTACTTTGGATGAATGCTGTCATCACGTTTCTAGCATTCGTGATCTTGACCTCCAACAATGGGCACAAATCACTGAAGATTTTGGTTCTCAGTAAATGTCGTATTCACATCAGCTGCCGTGATGAATGGACAACTCATAACTGACTTGCCTTTTCAATCTGTCAAATGGCACTTTACAAGCCTAGATAGCAGAGCCATAGGAGGCTTTGCGACTATGACTCTGCACCGTAGGATCATGAGTATCGTGTATCTAAGCAAGCCAGGGAAAGCTACGCTTAAGCTCGTCCTTTCTGGCCCTTTTCGTGTGAAGGCGGCGACAGATCGCACAGCTTACAGACTTGCAATCGTGTCTTCATGATGGCGATCAGGTCTGTACTTCACACTTCACCGGCAACCCTTCACTCGGAAATAGCCGTCCGTTATAGGCGACAACACTAATGAACTGCTCTTCTTGATATAATACCCACTGCCACGGTTGCGGTCGAGTAAATGTTGTTGTCGCTGGCTCGGTAGGGCTCTCATTATGGGAGGATTTTCTCCGGCTCGACCTAGTCTTCCATCTCGTTTTCGAGTCTGCCAAATGGCTTCGCAAGCTCAACAAACGACGCTTCCGAATACAACAGAGGTTGCAACATTTTCCGACTCATAAACTTGACCCAAACGATATCTGGCCATGATGTTGGAGACCGCCGATGCAACGATCAGCCAGGCAATGTCTGCGCTTTCCAATGATAACTCCGGCTACTTTATCCCCGTATCCCGTGGGGCGCCAGCGTAGCTGAAGGAGCTGGAGGCTAGGGAGAGAACGTCGGACGAAAAAAACAGACAGCATTAGAAGAATTCGTTCAATGGAGCGTGTCTATTCTTACGTCGCGGGAAGCTCTATGCGGTCTTCTAGTACGTCAACAGCTCTACAAGAGGTTTTGGCTATCCTGGAGCTTGTTGAGACCATCCTCCTACACTTACCAATTGCCCATATCATAAAGGCACAGATCGTGTGCTCCAACTTCCACAGAATTATTACCAAATCCCTGACGCTACAACAGAAGCTGTTCCTCAAGCCAATTCTTCTGGAGATTGCTACCAGCTCGCAGCCGAACCCCTTGCTTGCTCACAAAAACGCTTCGCGCTTCATCGACCTGAGGAAGGGCATGGATCATACAAGCTTGGAGAAGTATACTTGGCCAGATAATCGAGAGCTTGTACGCCAGCTCGACTGGAATGAATGGGCGAAGCATCACCACAGATACACGGTCAATGATGCAAGCTGGCGAAAGATGTTGGTGGTCAACCCTCCCATTAAGCTTCTCAAGTTCTCAATAGGAGAGTGGTCCTGGGAAGCTTACAACAAGCGGGGGGTCACAATGGGCCAGCTGGAGAATGCATATACGAATTGCTGTGACATATTTCGCATCGATGAGGATGGCGTGGGCATGATTGATCCAATCAGGATTAGGGGGATTTGAAGACATCGCCGAGAAATTGGTATTTTTATAGGCAACAACTTGTGTGACGGGAACAAGAAGCTCTACAGCCCAAGAGCAAGTTCAATCCTGAAGATAGGTATGAATACAGAGATCTATGAAGAGAAGGAAAGCTAGAGTCTATAAATACCCCATGTGATACTATCCCAGCTAGGTGAAGTAACCACGTGCATGCATGGAACACTTTCCTTCATGATAACTTCTACCAAGGAAGAATAGTTCCATGCCTATACAACAAAATCTCAATAACTGCCATTCAAACGTTCACTTATTGCTAGTGTTGTATCTAATGCTGCCATCACAAAATGGGATACCATAATTTGGAAACGTTGTGGATAATTGGCACGAGTCCGAAATAACATCCACCAAGTAGTTATTATAGTGAGTGTTCGGAGCAACCTGGTGAGTTTGACACCCAAGGTTCCTCTCATGGTAGGTATTCGGAAGCTGTTCAATGCATTTGTTAGTAGCTCTATCTAGTTTCATTTGCTCTTTTCATCCTCATAAAAGGTGTTCGGGAGCAGCGTGATTCATTTGGCAACAAGCATATTTATATCGTCTTCAAATTTACTTACACAATTTCTGCCAGAATTGACTGCCCAGGGGCCACCACATAGTTGATCAATTTCTATTATCAAACATATTACCACAACGAGGACCTGATTCGCTCCCCTGTAAGTTCCTGGTCACGTTCACACCTCCATGGCATCCCTCTGACGCGTTTTTGTATTTGTTGGATCGTAATGCGTCCCATTCCCTCCAAATTGCCGCCTTGAACTCGGCTACTGTCTTCCAAGTTCCACCAGGTAATCGTTGCTTAACTATCCGCCAACAAACCTCTATCAAATTAAGTTCTGGTGATTGTGCTGGCTACATAAGTATTTCGAGCCTGACATTACGTTTGAGACGAGCACAAGGGTTGTTGGTAGACCTACTACCGCGGGATGGGTCTCCATCGTCTTGGAGGCGAAAGCGATGGCCATCGCGCTCTTCCAAGGCCATAATCTCTCCGATGTGATTGGGAAGGATCTCTTTAGCGTAGAACTCTTGTGACATTGCGTTGCCTTTAGGCATAACCTCTGCTTCTGGCCGTGCTTCTTGCCACGCCTCTACCTCCTTCCTGTACTCTTCATCGCTTTGATACATCATCCTGCGAGGCTTCCAAGGCTCTTAAGCCTTTTGTGAAGGCTCCTTTGTGTCCTTGTATTATATAAGATTCCCTTCATGGTTGTAGGAGTCTCCAGCTGCGTAGTGGACAGTGGCATCTAAGTCTGAGGTTTTTCAATTGCAGTATACCTCTCAATGTGCACGATGACCCATATCTCTTTTAAAAATTCCTTTTGACCTGGATAACGTAGCTCGTACTCCGCTGAATTCTGGAGTTTGACTGACTGGAAATGAACTTCAGCTCTAAACCATATGTACTGCCAGAAGCCAGTAAGAGTCTCATTCTCATGGGATTGACTATATTTGATACGAATAGGCTTGTTTTACTGGGAGATTTTGGTGGCAGAATGTTTCTTGAACTGCCGAGCACCATCCTGAGCCGTATGTTGTTGTAGAGTACGTGGTGGTTTGATTGATTAATTGGTTTTTTCATACACGGTTCCAGCCATCTGTTTGGATAGCTATGCCGGAATGGCCCAGCTTTGGCACCAGTTGCCGAGCTGCGTCTACCCCAGGAGACGCAGCCCACTCCATCACTCGTGTAACCAGCAACCTCCTCCACTGAACGGTCTGGCTTCTATCTACGCATATATACATATCCGTTGACAGAAGTGTTTTGTTTGTGACTTTAGTATAAGGCTCTGACTCGGCGACCAACTGTCCTCCTGTGTCTGCGGTCCCTAGATACCTGGTGTGAGCTACGGCCACAGTGAAGCCATGTTGCAACTCCGCTGGCCACAGCAACTGTGATTACACGATCTCCCTGATCCTCTCAGGGGAAAATCTTCCCAACAACGTTCTCTCTCGCCCAATCTCCCAAATCCCAGACTTGTGTGTGCTTTGAATGTGAAATGTCGTTCTGTAGGTTGTGTTCCTTCGTCTGAGACCTGGGTGGTTCGATCGAGGCTGTATTAAGGTAAGAAACCCCTGAGGAGTTGCTGCCGGCTTGCACGAACGCTTCATTGTAGCCACCTTCCTCCAATACTGACCACTGCTCGTGGCCGTCCCCAGCACAATCCCACTGCCACTATGACCGGAGCCGCGCGAGAGTTGTCGGGCCCTAAGGGCGTCGGGGATCGAGTGCGCGAGTTGTTCGTCCGCCGTCCTACTAGCCACGCTGTTGACTTGAGCATGATGGGGTGGCAGCTGCAGGATTCGAACTTACCAGCACGAGCTGTCTTCCTCTTCTCTGGCCATAAGAAGAGTATATACAGCAGGTGCTCACCAGAGAGGCAGTGCCAGCTACCTCTCCAGCCGCCAGAGTACGTGGTGGGGGCTTGTCATCGAGTGTTTTAACTTGGCTTTTATATGGCTCTTTATGTATGGGATCCTCCTAGTTCGTAAACTTCCTAAGGTCTGCTGCTAATATCTGGCTCTTCCTCCCCAACCTAGAGCTGATCTTTGTTGTTCTTCTAAAGGCTTGATCTCCTGGGATCTCCCTCTTCTTGAGCCCAGTACGTGCATGGTAGGTTGATATTGGGTTGACAGCAGATTTCTCCGAGATGTCGCATTTTCTTTCTTGTCGGATGCATCGTAAAGAGAGAACGCGATTAAGAGTATTATGTTCAAGCAATTGGGGAGAATGTGAAGGCGCTGATGGCGCCATAATGTTGTTTTAACAATTTTATTGTGTTGCAAACCCGACGTGGCCCTTGCGCGACGGATTCCTGCACCCCCTGTAATCGAATAGTCTTCATAGCTAAGATGATTCGGGCTTTTTGACTTAAGAGTTTCCATTAGTAGTTAAGATAACGCGTGTCGAAGTAATAGGGTAGAAAGTCAAGGAGCCGTGCGCTGGTCTTGCCGTGCGCAGGGTCCTGTACAACCACGTTAACATGAGATCCACATTTCGCTTAGACAGATGCATATCAAAACACTGTGCTACGCAAACGGCTTAAAAGAACATCTTGACTCATACCGCGGCATGTTTTTGAGCAGTGCAAAAGAAGAAAGCTACCTCGATCCAGGAACTGTACGATCAATTGAAAGGCAGTTCAAGTGATATTAACAAAAATGTATGGGCCTAATCCGGGATCGAACCGGAGACCTCTTACATGTGAGCCATACCCAAAGCAAGAATTCTACCACTGAACTATCAGGCCTTTATCTTACTCCGAGAAAGTCAACACATTATATATAGCCTTTTTGTATTGGTTTTTATCTTTTTAAAGCTTTTAGTATTCTAGTTTCCTAAAATCTAGCAACGATTCAATGTTGATGCCTTGAATTGTTTCCAAAAATTAACCAGCTAAAAGTAACAATTTCAGCAACAGTCTCATAGTATGTAATAATGCTCATGGTAATATAGATAACTATAATAACAGTTTATTACCTTCGGTTTTTTGCTTTCCTCTACTTTCCTTCTATTTCCATACTTTGCTTCTTCTTCTCATCTATACTGTATCACTCCCTGCGCTAGATACTCCCTCAGAATTGATCAAGTATGGACGTCGATGTACCTTTCCTTGCGGAATGTCAGGAACTTGGTGTCGAGTTTACAACTCCGACCCAAATGCCTCCCAAACTTAGCCGACCAGCTAAATGGGCACAAGACATAATCTTCCAATGCTGGCTCGAGTAAGTGGATGTCCGAGTGACATTGGATTCCGTTACTAATTTATTTTATAGCCTCGTGGAAGCGTATCGACCTTATCTTTTCCAAGACTCTGATAATAGAACAGTCTCACGATTAAACCATTTCTTCCGACGATATGCACAAACTCATAAGGAATGTCTGGCGGGAAAATAAGTGTTGAAACACTGGTACATTATGTAGGACTGCTCAGACAGGCTAACAACCGCCGCACGACCTACAAAATCACGGAGAAGATGGCGGAGGAGGTGAAAGAGGTATTTGTAGCATACTCAACAAATATATCTACCAACTCTTAATAACAATCTTTAGTATATAACGACAGAACTTACAGAAAAAGAAAGCCTCACGAATAAGTTGTAACGTTCTGGGACTTCTCGGTTAGTATTCAGGCGTGGAATACTCAACTAAGATCTTCTCGAGTAGAAGCAACGTCGGGTTGGTATAGGAATGAAGAGGCAAGTATCGATTGAGGTGAATCACGTGGGAGTGATTCCGTTACAAGCTGGGTAAACTGTGTGGTAAACAAAGCTATGGTCATTTGAGCACGAAGCTCCTATCTAAGGAAAGTAAGCTGACTATATAGAACCTTCGTGTACTACGGACTCCAGGAGTCCTCACGTGATGTCTAACTCGGTAATCCCTTGGATCGTTTCCATGCACGTCGAGCTGCATGAATCCGTCCAGTAGTATGTACCGAGTGTTCCCCCAAGGCTAACATAACAGATCACTAACTCTTGGTAACGTGATTGTGTGGTCGTGACATAAATATCGCCAAAAGTATCTTGCGACCCTCGATGATATGAACGCCCTTATGGAGCAGTTGTGAATTGGCTATACCTGGAGATATCCTGACGAGAGATATCGTATCCAGTTGGCTTTATATATGCTTTGCTTGTTCTACACAGCCTCAAGGCCAGGTGCGATTGTCGTCTCTAGTGCCTACGCAGTCACTAATGAATCAAGCATATATCAGGTATGTTTATATCTCAAGCTTTGAACATTTATATTAACTATAATTAGGACATGAAAGTTGAGCTACTTCGTGCTACAGATCTAGATGATCATCGGCCAATGATTTGTGTAACGTTCAAAATTAGATTACTCAAAAATGGAAGAGATGATCCAAAAATATTGTAAGGATTCGTTTCGAGATTATAGACCTTTCTAACAGGAACAAGTATTGAGCACACCTTACTAGAGGATCGTGAATGCCCTCATCTATGCCCAGTTCTGCAATTTTTGACCTTAGCGTTTGAAGACAATGTATTCAAACACTTCCCAACGCCCGAGGATCTCTTCAGATATCAGTTTCCACCAGGCAATAAGTACTTGCATGTCGAGTATAAGAGTGAGAAGGGGGTACTGCCATTTTTACGAGTGGCAAAAGGCAACCAAGGGATATCTGCAACGGAATCCTGGACGTATCACAATGCATACTATGCAACGAACTGAGATCAGAGGTCGCACCTACAGCAGAAATCCAGCAAATTGCAGGCCATCAGGATTTTCAGACAATTCAGAAATATATGGCAAAACATACGAGGGTTGATGTAAAATCAGTAGTACAAGGGAAACCTATGCGAACAGATGTCATTGATCAGTTACGGAGCGTCGGAAAGACACGCCTTCGAGGCATGCCATTACAGCTACCATTTGAGCTCTCTAAAGCAATCAAGAAAGAGCCATGATCCGAGCATTTAGTGGTACAGTCAGTTGCAGTTAGTACGCACCTAATCAATATTTTAGCACAAAACAAGATAAAGATTCGCGAGTAGAGTCTCCCGTGGGGGTGACTCTACTCGCGAATCTAGCATATGGAAGTCAAGGCAGTCGACGCTTTTTTAGAAGATGTTCAAGAGAATGTGGGAACCGGTGAAAATTCAAACGAGATCAAAGCAGCGTTCTACGAGCTACAAGCAATTGCGAAGAAGCTGAAAATGCACCTCTGTAACCGGTCACGCCAAGAACTTCAAAGATACAGGAGAGAGTGGGCAGACAATCAGAATAACGAGAACGCCCTATATCGGGCACCGTTAGAGCAAAGAGATAGCTCGTTCTCGATGACTAGTAAATCCAGAGTTTGGGTCATCCCTAGCATGTTTCCAGAAGAACCATTGTCAGCAAATAATTCAATTGCCCTCATCAACCAACTACAAGGATTAATGAAAGTCACGCCCGTTGGCGCGTCACATCCGTCACGTCCGTCACGTCCATCATGCCCACGAAACCGCGACAACCCTGGCGCCGCTGGACGGATCTGGAAACCGCACGACTTGTAGCGCTTACAAATGATCCGTCTCTTAATACAGGGGAAATAGTTCATGCATTCATGGAAACACATGGAGTTCAACAACGAGTTGCAGGGAGTGTAAAACGGAAACTCGTCAACTGCCGTCGCGCGAGGTCCGGGTGAGTCCAAGATTCACCCAAAAAGAGAAGGTTTGATAAGACGTCTCTGGCAACGCCCGATCATACCTCACATCTCGTCGCGCAGACTGTCGTAGGAACTGATTCTAAAACATGTCGCTAAAGTTGCCGTGGAGATGTAAGAAATTTGAGGTCCGTGGTGTTTGAAGATGTATTAAGTGTATGTTCTGCACAGAGGTCTAAGTGTGTGCATGTGTGCACTGTTCTGAGGAAGAAGGGTGATGAGTTTGGTGCTTTCACTACATGATTGATGCCTAGCCAGTACAAAAAACAAAGGGATTGTCCTTATGTATTCAGACCTTTTCAAGTTTAAAGGTGAAGTACCCAAGAAGGCCCTCGGCACGCGTGGTTTCTCGTTACGCATGGACAGACGTTACATTTCTATCAGGACGATGATAGGACAGCATGCAATACAATGCGAGATGATCACCGAGTCCCATTGGTACCTTTACCTACCTTCGCCGTCTTGTCTTCGTCCTTTAAATCCGCTTCGTGCAAAACATTCGTGACCACAAGTCAAACCAAAACAACGTGATGACCTCCGCAGGATAGTTATATAATGTGCAAGCCGTCAAGGTAAATATGGCTGCCACATGCTTCCTGCCTATTATCCATGGTTGTAGTACCCATTCTACACTATCTTAACGTCCAATCAACATACCTATCCGATTAATACTGAGGCCCAGTATTATGCATGGTGTACCGTGGCCACATGTGATGGGGGAAATAGTCACGTGTATCAGGTGACCCTGCGGCTTAGCATGTGCCGCAGTGCATTCAGAGTTTGCTTTGCAACTCTAGCCTCTTTGTGGATGTTTTGACTCTCAATACAAGACCTTGCTCTGTACTCACTTGACATAATGTCTACCAATCCCAACCTCCTCTCTACAGCCTTAGAGCGTAGACCCCAAATTACGAATAAATCGACGAAGAAAAGAACCACGAAGAAACCGCACGAAGAAACCTCACGAACGACTTTTACGAAGAACCCATAAAGAATCGAATAGAGACCAAAGAATCACGATGACTATTCCACAATCTACACCTGCCTCTGATCCTGAGTAATCTCCTGATCAATGGGTCCCTTTCAATATTCATTACCCACTCCTCTCCGTGATCAAGGAACCTGCGCACTTCGACCTTGCCTTCAAGGATCACGCCGATCAAACAAAGGAAGAAGTAGCCAGTCTTGCTCTACAACTCGAAAAGTTCCGTAATGTTCACTCTGACCTCTTCAACAAGTATGACGCCCTCTTGATCGAAGACGAAGCTCACAAAGTACAACTCGATGCTCTCAATACTCAGTTTATTGAAGCAAACCTCCAGATCGGTCAACTCAAGTTCGCACAACCCTCTTCGTCTGTCTCTCACTGTTCCCGTCACCCCGATCCTGAGGTCTACAACAGTGGTGGAAAGGAGCTTTCACCCTTCATTCGCGAGATTCGGACCAAGTTCGATATCAAAGATGACTGGTATGACTCTTAAAACAAAAAGATGATCTATCTCAAGTCTCAATTGCGTGGAAAGGCCTACGACGCGGTCATCCATGGATTCAACGAAGACGGTACCGTACTTCTCCTCGGCCGGCGATATCTTCAAACTTTTGAAGCAATCCTCCGCAAGCGTCGATGGGGAGGCTGCCGCTCAAGCTGATATTGTAAATATTAAGCAACACAGAAAGCTTATGATTGAGTTTCTCAATGGTTGGTGTGCGAAGGCGCAACTTACTGGATCTCATGACAAGGCAAAAATCGCCCTCCTCAAGAACGCCCTCCACCCCAAGTTGATTACTTTTTCCAACACCTCCAAATCGCACAAGTCCCCATTCCCAACACTCGTCAGCTTCGTAGCCCTCCGCAACGTTGATCAAGTTATTCGCTCCACAAATCCGAACTATACCAAGTCCTCCCCAGCCGCGCCTGCCGCCCCGGTTCTACCAGTTACTCCCATCTTCCTCACAACTTCCAACAGTGGTGAGGCGATGGGCTTGAGTGCTACAGCTTTTAACCACCCTGTCTGGGTTGTAAAAGGAGAAAATACCGTCCCTGCGAACAAAGAGGAGCGCGCGGCTCACCGTCA